GAGCTTTTTTGGGGTGGGGGGGTGGGTGGTGTGGGTTGGGGGGTGTTTGCACAAAAACTCTGATCTCTATAAATCATATAAAACCCCACTTTTAATTTCTGCACTTACTATCATGACAGATGGTGATTATTTAAGTTGTCATGTCCTCGATTGGCAACTTGTGGACAAAATTACCCTATCTTACTAAACATGAACTTCTATTTAAACCGCTTTTCAGGTAGGGTAGGTAAAAAGTAGAAAAGGGTACTTTAGACTTTTTACTCTACTGCAATCACGGTACGAGAATTTCAATGCTCCTGTGTGTAGTTGGGGGGGGGGGGAGGTTCTCGATTTAAAAGCTGAGGGACTTTTGTGATTTACCCGTCAAATTTCATTTTCATAGATGCTTTCATTCTACTCTCTCTCTCTCCTTATTCTAAAGTTTAACCCATGCTGAACTAGAATTGTTTCCTAAAATATTTTGACAGATTGACAGCAACACCGATGGACTGGTGGATTTCTCTGAATTTGTTGCTGCAACACTACATGTACGGCAGTTGGAGGAGCACGACAATGAGAAGTGGAATTCACGATCCCAAGCTGCATTTGATAAATTCGATATGGATAGAGATGGATATATCACTCCGGAGGAACTTAGAATGGTACCTTTTCTTTTAGGTGTATGTTATCCTTTTAAGACTATTAATAATGCTAATTCTCACTTTCACATGCTATCAATATGTAATCTCTGTCAAAATATTAGAAAGTATAAACACAGCACTCCCAAGAAACTCCCTTCCCTCCCATGTTTTATTTTCATATAAATTTTGTATTATAGAAAGATTCTTTTACAGAAGGAAGCCACAGCCTATATAGGCGAAATATCCTACCTATAACTTAGAAAGAAAAATCTGGAAATTTAGTTGCCTATTTTTACCCTCTGATACAGCATAGATTCTTTCCTTCTATCTTGTGTCATTGTAAGCAATAAATATATAAAAGATACATTTCAGTTATGGTAAAAATCTTGCGCCATAAATTATGGAACAGCTGGCCTGAGTTGTTCATTTCACACTCCCCCTCAAGTTGGCATGTAAAGATCCAACATGCCCAACTTGCTCAATACATCATAAAACGCAGTACTAGACACTCCTTTGGTCAAAATGTCGGCAAGCTGTCCTTCTGACCTCACGAAGGGCAATGAGATGACCTTCTCATCTAGGTTCTGCCGGATGTAGTGTCTGTCTACTTCCACATGCTTTGTTCGATCGTGTTGAACTGGATTCGAGGAAATTTCAATGGCCGCTTTATTGTCACAAAACAATCTCATCTCCCCCTTTCGTTCAAACCCAAGTTCTTCCAACAATTTATTGATCCAAATTAATTCTTGTAAACCAATCCGGATCCCTCTGAATTCAGATTCTGCACTTGACAGGGCCACGACATTCTGCTTTTTGCTCCTCCAGGTTACTAAATTACCTCCAACAAAGGTGAAGTATCCTGATGTTGACTTCCTATCAGTTATATTTCCAGCCCAATCTGCATCTGTATACCCTTCAACCTCAAGATGTCCATTTTTTTTGAAATAAATCCCTCTTCCTGGAGCACCCTTAAGATATCTCAAAATGCGATAAACAGCATCCATATGGTCCTCACTTGGGGCATGCATAAATTGGCTAACCACATTTACTACATAAGCTATGTCTGGTCGTGTGTGAGACAAGTAAATTAATCTACCTACAAGTCTTTGGTATCTCTCTTTATTTGTAGGTACTTGGTCTGGAAGAATTCCTAACTTGTGGTTTTGCATGATCGGGGTATCAACTGGTTTGCTGTCAAGCATTCCAGTTTCGGCCAATAGATCCAACACATACTTTCTCTGTGACAAAGAAATACCTTCCTTTGATCTTGCTACTTCTATTCCAAGAAAGTACTTCAATCCGTCAAGATCTTTCATTTCGAACTCCTTGGATAATCTCTTTTCCAACTGTTCAATCCCCTCTTGATCATCTCCTGTTATTATCATATCATCTACATAGATAATCAAAATGGTTATTTTTCCATGAGTTCTTTTAAAAAACAACGTATGATCAGAGTCACTTTGTATGTAACCATAGGCTTTCATTGCCTTACAAAACCTCCCAAACCACACTCTAGGAGATTGTTTCAAACCATACAACGACTTATCTAATTTGCACACTACATCCTTAGAACCCGGACATTCATAACCAGGAGGAATATCCATATATATTTCCTCTTCCAATTCACCATGTAGAAAGGCATTTTTTACATCAAACTGGTGTAACGGCCAATCTAGGTTAGCTGCTAATGACAACAACACCCTTACAGTATTTAATTTTGCAACTGGCGAAAAAGTATCTTGAAAATCAATACCATATGTTTGGGTAAACCCTTTAGCAACTAACCTAGCTTTATACCTTTCTACTAAACCGGTTGAACCATATTTAATAGTAAAAACCCACTTACATCCTACTGTCTTCTTTCCTTGAGGTCTCTCTACCAGTGTCCAGGTTTTATTTTGTTCAAGTGCATCCATCTCCTCCTTCATGGCTTGTACCCATTTCTGATATTTCAATGCTTCTTCAACTCGATTTGGAATGACTTCAGCTGAGATATTGGCAGTGAAACCTCTCATCTGTTGTGACAAGTGCTCACTTGTAACGAAATTTCCAATCGGATATGCTCCTCTCTTTTTTCCAAAACTTTCTGATGCGTATCTTTTTGGTGGCTGTCCTCTGTTCAACCTGGGAGGCAATCTATAAACATGATTATCATTTAAATTTTCAAGGTGGTCAGGAGCTCTTACCTCAGAGATATCCGTAGGAGCTGGGTCGTGTGGTTCTGGAAGGGACTGTATCATTTCAGAGGTCGGGTTGACAACCCGCCGGTTTGGATCACGTTTGTAAGTGCGCAACTGTTGGTGTTCAATACCAGAGGCCTCAACTTCCTTTTCTTGTAAACCAGGTTCGAACTCCCCATTATTTAGGCCCAGCTTACTCTCAGATGGACCAAGAGATGGAGGAAGGAATTATCTTGTGGACATACAGATGATGGGCCGATTTGGTCATGTTGGGACATATTACTAGCTTCCAGGCTAGTGTGGTCAAGGGCAAAATTAAGGTCAGATTCGATCTGGTCCGAAGGATACATTTCAAAAGAGTTAGATTCTTCTCCTACAGAGATCAGATCCCATAGTTGCTTCTGGTCCGAAGGATACATTTCAAAAGAGTTAGATTCTTCTCCTACAGAGATCAGATCCCATAGTTGCTTCTCTTCACTAATCTCCCCCTGAGAAGTAACTTGGGAATTTTGGAAAAAATATTCCATCTCAAGAAATGTTACATCCATTGTAACAATTATCTTTTTAGAAATAGGATTAAAGCAACGATAACCTTTCTGATTTATACCATATCCCAAAAAAACACACCGCTCTGCACAAGGTTCTAATTTAGATCTCTGAACTTTAGGAATATGAATGTAAGCCACACACCCAAAAATTCTAGGTGGAAGGTTGAGAATAGATGGTATATGGACATAAGATGACAATTTTTGAAGTGGGGTTTCAAAATTCAGTACCACAGATGGCATGCGATTTATTAAATAGACAGCTGTAGTAACCGCATACTCCCAAAATTTTTGTGGAACATTACTCTCAATTAGTAAGGATCTAGCAGTTTCTAGGACGTGTCGGTTTTTTCGTTCTGCTACCCCATTCTGTTGTGGAGTTCCCGCGCACGAAGTTTCATGTATGATGCCCTCATTTTGAAAGAAACTCTTTAGAATTTTATTCACAAATTCTCCACCATTGTCGCTTCTAAAGTATCTAATATTTTTATCAAATTGAGTTTTCACCATATTATGGAAAATCTTAAATATATTTGATACTTCATCCTTTGTTTTGAGAAGATATAACCATGTCATCCTTGTACAGTCATCCACAAACAGTACAAACCAACGATTTCCATTTGAAGAGTTTACTGGGGATGGACCCCAAACATCAGAATGTATTAAAGCAAATGGAATTGTACTTTTATTTGGACTTCTAGGAAAGGATACACGGTGACTCTTTGCTCTAATGCAAGTTTCACAATTCAAATCCTCATTCTCACAACCAGAAAAAAGACTAGGATAAAGTTTCTTAAGATACCCGAAAGAAGGATGACCTAATCGTCTATGCCACATCCATACCCGATTTCTCGAGTTAGCTTTCAAACTTGTAGAGTAATGAGTCCTTCCTGTAGCCATGTCATCCAAATGATACAATCCTCCTCGTTTAGAACCACGCCCAATAATCTCCTTCGTCCGGATATCCTGAAACAAGCAAAAACGAGGAAACATGAGAACACAACAATTCATCTCTTCACAAATTTGTCCGACAGAAAGCAGTTTTGTAGATAGTGAAGGAACCAGCAGTGTGTTTGAAAGAGTCATAGATGAAGAAATTTGAACATCTCCAGCACTCATTACTGGGTAAGATACCCCATTAGCATTTAAAATATCGCTTCTTCGTGCCTTGTATTCATTCACAAAATCAGACCTCGTAAAAGTCATATGGTCAGTTGCTCCAGAATCTATTATCCAATTATAAGATTCTTTTATATTTGAATGAGGATGTGAAATACAGATTTTACCTTCATTCTGTTTACCATACTTTACTGCTGGCACAAGAGATAAACCATTGGAGTGTGCTACAGACGCTGAACCCACTGCTTCACCTTGGGCCGAACCACCTCTTGACCCGATTGGGTCTTCTACTGTTCCTGTAGGTGTGCTTGCAACAGGGCCGGTTCCAGCTTTATTTGCCTCCCCCTGTTTTCCTTTTTTTTGACCCTTATACCAATCAGGAAACCCGATTATTTTATAACATTTCTCCTTGGTATGATTTGTTTTGCCACAATTAGAACAATAGAGGGAATTATTTGGTCGAGTAGAAGAACCAGGTTTTTGCATGTTCAATTTCTGATTTTGTGTAAGAAGTACCACCGGGTTTTGTAACTCGTCACCCTTTAACATAACAGTTTGACGGTTGTCTTCTCTACGAACCAATGCAAATGTCTGTTCTATGGTTGGGAATGGTTGGACTTGGAGAACATTAGCCCGGATATGATCTAAGCGATCATCTAGGCCATCTAGAAAAGTCAATACTCGGTTTTCTTGCAAAAGTCTATTATATGTTTCGATATCTATTGGGTTGGTCATAGGATTAGGTCTACGACAATCTAATTCTTTCCAAAGTCCTTGTAACTGAGTGTAATAAACCTCAATAGATCCACCCGATTGTTTGACCCGATTAACCTTTCTTTTTAATTCAAGCAATTGTGTCAAATCGTTCCCATCAAAGTAAGTGGTACGAACTGCATCCCAGACCTCTTTTGCAGTTGAGAAAGGAATAAAGTTACCTATCAGAGAGGAATCCATAGAGTTAATTATGTAATCCTTGACGAGTTGATCTTCCATGTTCCACTTTGGATTCGTATTACCCGAAGGTTGAGAGGAAGTGCCATCAATATAACCGAGCTTGCCCTTGCTCGATAACTTCATCTTCAACATCTGTGACCATATGTTGAAATTCTTGCCATCTAGCTTGACTGTCATTGCAGATATGACCCCATCTTGCGTTGGTTTTTGTTGCAGCAGTTGAGAAAGCGTAGCAGTCAAA